CATGAATGCTGTGACTTTACAATAGATTAGGAACACAGCTTGACAGAAGTGCTGTGTTTGTCCAAGCTGCACTTAAAAACAAATTTACACTTCTGGAATGCAGGTAACTTGTAGGTTGCTCACCCATTACACATGTGCTTTAGCAGTACTGCTCCTGCAGTACTCAGTACCTGCACAACTCAGCACACCTGTGTGCTTGAGGAAGCCCCAAACTCACCATCATCTCCCAGTGGTCTCCTGCCACATGTACATTTAAAGCTTTTGCTATTGTTTTTCACCCTCTCCCTGCTCAATGCATAACCCCAGAGTCCTCATCCAGTGTCCTGTGCTGTTATAAAGAAGAGTGAAAGTGCAAATTCCTATTGTAAGAAAGGAGAAAACCCAAATCTTGTGGACAATGTGATTTAGTTTAGCAATCTCTAATTGTTAAACTTGGCATTGCTGTCTTCATTCTATCTGCAGTGGTGCCCTCTCTGAAGATGAAGTCTATACAAAATACCTTGATGTTGAAATTAACCCAAAAAATACTAAAAAAATTGAATTTCTCTGGAATAAGACAATTTTTACTTTGCTCTGGGCAAGACTGGGAGCAGAAATAGTCAATATAATTCATGGAGAAGATGGACATAGGTAAGTATACCCCTTTTACAGGGAGCAATGGGAAAGGAGTGGAAAAACCCTAGGAGATAGGATTGAATAACGGCCTTAATAGATTGGACACATGGTTTGCAATCAACAATGTGAATGTTAGTAATGACAAGGACAAGATACTAGACTTCAGACAGAAAACCAAGTATTCAAGTGAAAACCAGGGAATAACTGTCTGGAAAAGAATATAACAGTGAATAATTTGGAATGTATACTGTTTTGCCACAGCAAAACAATTGCAAACCAAAATAAAGCAAGTGTCAGTCCCAGGTGCATTACCAGGATTGTGTAGAAGATTCAGAGAGTAATTATTCTGATTTGATTAACAAGGGTAAGAATGTAACCAGAAGCAGGGTCTTTTACAAGTTTGGAGAGTGTACCTCAGGAATAATGCACAGAGGCTGAAGTCTGGAAAAATAGCAAAGGAGATTTAGAAATCTTGATCTGTGTAGAGCAGGTGAAGAAAATGTGTTTCTCAGCAAAGAAAAGCCTGGAGAGGAACATAAAAACATATAGGTAAGCTGTCTATGAAGAGTCAGTCAACTATTTCCCATATGCACTGTGTTTAGATCAAGGTTTAATTGACATATTTTACAATAGAAGAAATATTGGTAAAATATCAGGAAAAAAATTTCCTTGTAGTTTGGCATTGGCATGGATTATTTAGAGAAGCTGATGAAATCCCTTTCACAGTGAGCTCCTAAAAAAAATAAAAAAGCTGCAAAGCTTTGATTGGGGCAACCTAGTTAAGGAATGAGCCTAAATAGAGGGAGCTTAACAAGATGCCTTTCTGACTTCTTATCTAAAGCTCTCTGTGTGTGAATCTAGAGATTAATTTTATTTATATATTAAAACTCAGATTTTACATCTGGTCCCTAAAAGAAGGAAAGTCACCTTGTTACTAACAATATGCAGATGCTAATATTCCACACAGCAGGCTTTTAGGAAGGCTTAAGTGGGATTATGGATCGAACTAACAACCCGCAGGTTGACAGGTGACCGACTTTCATTTTTCTTTTGAGGAAAACAGATAAATAAATCTTGATGTGCATATTTTTTCTCCCCAGATCAGCTTTGTGTGGCCGTGGAACTGTGACATATGGAGTTCCCCAGCTACTTACACCTTGCTAGAGGTCAGCAAGTAGAACTGTTCTGCAAGTGGCAGCTGAGCAAACCCTCCGTCCTGCGCACGGGAGTGTTGGTTCACAAGGCTATTAAAGCTCCTATCAAACTGCCTGTTGCTCCCCTTATTTTTTACAGTTCTTTGCAAACACACTTGTCAATATTTGACTTGTTCATGTTTGAACCACGTTTACAATGCTTGTAGCTATGGAAGCAACTGGAAATCGTATTTACTGAAATCCACTTGTTATACTGCACAGTCTTACTCTACCAGTGCCAGATTTTCTGTCTATCAAACAGTCTCAAGGCAGCACATCACTTCACCACACCCCTCTGGCTGGGAATGGTCCCAGACACCTCCTTTCCACAGCCTACTCTATTGCCCTCAGAAAATACTCTGAAAACTTCTTCAGCAAGTCAGAATAGCCTTTCTTACATTGCATCCTTGTGGAAGCAAAAAATAAAGGCAAACCTCAGGTGTTCTCTGCTTTGGAAGAAACTAAATGGCTGAATCACAGCACCTGGCTGCTGCTGAATTATCTTCCTGTGCCCATGGACAACCCTGGATAGAAACTCTGAATAATTCCAGTTTTTGCAAAACCTGAGGTTGACTATTTCTAATATTTCTTATTTTACTAATAAACACTACTGCTCTGCAAAGCTTGGCATGAGCAAGCCACCTGGAGCCTTAACATACCAAGGCTGTGGATATTTTCTAAGTGTAAAAACCAAACTCTAAGTTCATGAATAGGAAAACAGAGTTAGTCATTTATTCATCCCCCATTTCCCCATGTTTGATAAATGATGAGCGAGCACTTGGGCAGATAAACATCCAGGAAATAGGAGTAGAAATACAATATTAAGAATGTGTTTATAATAAGTATAGATAGTTAAATATCTAAATGAAATATGTTTGGGCTTTAGTTTGTTGGTTTTTTTGGTTTTTTTAAAACAAGAACATATAGTGTTGTATCCTTGAGTAAACACTAACCAAGCCTGTATGAAAGCAGAAGCATAATTAAACACAAGTCTGAGGTCCAGCCAAGAAAAATCTGCAGCCCCAAGTACTGCAAGTCCCCCAGGGACTTGACAGGTGGCAAGGGAAGTGTGAACAATGCTGGGAAGCACTGTGCCGTGTCCCAGGAGAGAGCCACAGCATCCTGCAGCACCAGAAATCCTGTCCTCTCCTCTGCCTGCTTCCTATTCCAGACTGCAGCTTCTTCTGAACGGCAGAAACATCGAAAGTGCTAAATAAAGGCCCAGCTCTCTCAAAAGCAGTCTCTCCTCCAGCAGCCCCTGACGGCGAGGCCACAAGGACCAGAGCAGTTCCTCCAGGCACAGAGAGCAGCCTGTGTCATGCTGAGGGACACGCATCCCAGCCCTACCCCTTCTTCCCAAGGGAGAAGAGAGCAGCTGAAACCCATCTGACCATGGCCTGAGGAAGTGTCCAGTTATTCAGTTTGCCCTGTGTTATTACTGTGTTGAATAAGAACTGCAGACATACAATGACAAAATCCCAACTCATATCTTTTCTACCAGCTCTTAAATTAAATGGGAAGGACCATTTCCACCCCTCTTTGTTGAACAAGTGTGAGAACTTAGCAGTGTACCAGGACATGTGGTGGTTCTCCTGTATCAATGACACGAACGTATTTACAAACTAAAATGACACTTCAATTAAAGACAGGAACACTGAGCTCTAAATTAGTATTAATGGTGATACTTCAGAAAATTAAGAACTTCACTACTACTTCAAGAAATACCCCACTAGCATGGATGATAACAGTGTAATACCTACACACACAGCTGGTATCCATTTGGTCATTCCCAGAAGTGGAGATTAGGGAACGTCAGCTCTGCAAAGACATGTGGCTGCAGCCAAAATGCATAGCCAAGCTGACAGAGCCTTCTAGGTGAAGAGTTAGCTGAGATCCCATTTCTTCTTGAGTTCACTTACAGCCTTCTAGAGATAAGCAGGACCAAGGCATTCCCAGACAGAGTCCTGTTCATTTGCACAGGCCTTTTTCACCTTTTAGTTGATGCCTCTAGAAGAACAACCTACTGAGCTCTGTAACACCACTAAAAGTGGTCACCCAAAATGTCTGGAGGATTTTATATGTTGTTTGTATATATTTCCAGCATGTTTGCTCTCAGTTCATTACTCAGAGAAGGGCTTTCTCAAAACTTGAGTTTTGTGGGTAGTATAGAAAGGTTCCAAAGCGTAGACAGTTGTTCTTCTATGTCTACTTATTTCAACGAGAAAATGAAAGGGACACCTGGAGAAGGTCAGTCATATCAGGACCACTTAGAAGTTTTCCTGAAAGGATAAAGCTCCCCCAAACTGAGCTGATGTCAGGAAACAGGCACAAAAGTCTCAGAACCACAGCAGCATTCCACATCTAAAGTCACTCGATGCAGGGCAAGGGAGGGGACTTAAAGATGATGTGTTTCCCTTCTAACTCCCCATATGCCCTACATCCCAACTACATCACACTAAAATCAGAAGCTTTCCAAGCCAAGACAAGCCCCTAAATGCACTGCTACACAAATTCACATAATTATCTTTAATGTCACACTCCTGATGTGTTGCTATTCAGGAATTATGCTGCCTCTGCAGCTCCCATCCTATTGTGGGCTCCAGCACATCAGTTCAAGAAATCTATGTCCGTAGATTTTGGAGTTTTCAGAGGAACCAACCATTAAAGTTGTTCTCCAGATTAGCTATAATCTGAAATAAACGTCCCTATCTATCTGGGAACATTTCCAAGGATAAAGCAGGCTATAAAAAGTACATGTGAAGTTTGCACATTGTGCACAGACATTCAAGGCTGCACCGTAAGTAGTTCAGGTTTGGGGGGGGTTTCTTTTACCTCGTCAGGTATATGGCTTCCCCAGACACAGCAGTATAAAGGGGAGTGGCAGCTCACACAGGCATCCTTATGCTAATTCTAAAGTACTTACTATATGCCTGATTAGAAGCATAGCCTCAACAGGACAAAAGTCACTCCAGAGTTAAGCTATGCTTTAGTAGATTTAGGAGCCCTGCAATCTCTAGTGGAGCAAGCAAACATAAAGCTGGCTCACGTACACAGAGCTCATGGGTATGTGTTGCAGAGAAGACAGACACTGTACCCTTTTCACCTTGAGAAAATCCAGCACCAGAGAGCTAAATGGACTTTCTAATCAAGCAGGTTAGCAAATCCTAGCTGCTTCTTTTTCTACCATTCTAGATGCTTGGAATTTGGATACTTGGACTTTTTCTGCTCAGCACAGCAGAAGGTAAGCATATGGGGTTAGTATTTATACTCTCTTTCTATGCTGCTACATTTTGCAAGTTAGTATTCTACTCTCTGGTACCTTAAAACATACTGATTGAAGTTACATCATTCATCTTCCTGTACAAGAATGGTGAGATGTGTGTGTGTGTGTGTGTGTGTGTGCATGTTGTCCTTACTCTTCTCCACTCTGGAAATCCCGCCCTAGAAAAACTAGCATTTCTTACACACTTCTATTTCTGAACAAAGCTATTTCTCTACCAAAGCCAGGAAACAATTTGTTGTACTCTTCTTTAGTGCTGGAAATGGAGACAAAATCAGGGTCGGCGGGCAGAGGCGGTCAATGAGGGTATGGCTTTATATTCATCAGAAGCCATTGGTTTGTATGGTGTTAAGATTTCTCATGTACAGTGTGGTCAGCTGTTCAACACAGTCAAGTTATTGCTGATTTTTTGCAATATTTTGGCTTGCTATTAGGAGAAATTCATCAGCTGTCTTTGCCTTAAGCAAAACACAGCTGGGGAAAGATACCCAAGATATGGTACCAGTTACCCACAGAGGAATTCCACTGAATACTTTGCTGATGAGCAATTGGGTGGCTTCTTTCCCTGGGTTAAACTGTGGCCTTTGAAGATCTGATAGAGAGGGCAACTGCTCGTCTTTGCTTTCTATAAACCATAGGGTCTTCAAGAAACCAAGAGACCTCCAGAGAGGAGATACTATGAGTTGTGACTAGCCTGCTCCACTCCTTTGCTCACTGATATATTATTGATCTGATCTGTATGCTACAGGTAAAGAAGTTTGCTATGACAGGATTGGATGTTTCTCAGATGAGATACCATGGTCTGGCACTACGGAAAGACCAGTACATAAGTTACCTTGGAATTCCAAAAAAATAGACATTCACTTCCTCCTGTACACAAGAGAAAATCCTACTGAATTTCAAGTAAGAAATATTGATCTTCTTCCAGCCCCCACAAAGCAGCACTCCCTCACGTTTTTTGTATGGCCACTGAGGCGTACCGGAAAGCTCCTTATTTTTAAACTCATTTGGTTCATTTTTTTTCTGCAGATAAGATGAAAACACATTAAAAGTAATTTTTTGGCTGCTCTAAGATACGTGTCAAAGTTTGTTCTGAATGGAGATACAGACCTTAAGCCATAGTCATTTGAACGCTTGCAAATGAGTTTAGCATTGCATAATTTTTAGACACGTGTCTAGATGAGCATAGTTCAGGTCTTTGCAGTCTTCATGAACTATTTACAGAAAGCAGATTTAAATGTTTGTTAATTTAATGTCTACCACAGGAGGTCTCTGCAGTTGATACTTCAACAATTGATCACTCAAATTTTGATGCAAGCAGGAAAACCAGATTTATCGTGCACGGGTTTGTCGATAGTGGAGAAGAAAACTGGCTGTCGGACATGTGCAAGGTAAGTACCAGAGGGAAATCCTGTCCCTGTGGAGCTCAGGGTTTGCATTTATAGACAGTTTACAGAAATGTGTTTATTTTCTATATTTCTAAGCAATTGCTCTCATGGTACTTACAGTGATTAAAGAGGCCACTTTTTCAAACTGTTAGCAACTTGCATATGTAGCTCCGCACCTTGAGGAAAAGCATGAGGTAAAATGCACCCAGTTCCTCTCAAGAGAGAGACAACAGGATTTGGCTCAGGAAGAGTCCTTTTTATTTTGTAAAAAACCCTCAAACCCTGCAGCAAGACACTGCTTAGGAACTAGGGCGAGTCCATAAGTAACTGCAGACTCATAACTATTGCATCATATTCCTGCAGACAACAGGCAGGGTTCTTTAGAAAGTGCATCACGAAGGTATGGGCTGCCACAGGGGTGCTGGAGACTGAGGGCATGGGCTGACCACTAACAGAAGCAATAAAGCTGTAGAAATGTACATCCAGAAGGGACCTCAAGGGGGTTGTTTCAAACAAAGCTTTCAATGCAGGACTTGCTATGAACAATGAACAAAGTAAAGCACTTGGATTTACTGATTTTTTATGCTAATTCCCCAAGTTATTTCTTAATCCTGTCCCCATACAAAGTTGCAGTTCCAGCTTGTGGTCTTCTCAGACCCTATAAATATGTTTTCTACTGCAGCAGCAGCTTATGAAAGCTACTAGTCCTACAGCACAGAGCAAACTACCAGTCCATGGCATGTGACACTTTTAGTACAAGATTTTTCAGCTATTCACACAATTGGAATTTCATTTAAATTCTACATTCCTATTTTACTTATGAGAACTCTATGAGAAAAAATGTGAAAGTTGGCTAAAATCAAGATATTTCACATCTACTACATCCCTGTTGCTTGCTTCTATATGATATTAGATCCAAAGAAAATAAATTAAATCTATTTTAGTTTATCATTGAAAAAACTCTATGTTATCACCTTATGAGCATCGATGAATGATTGCTGATTTTGTTAATAATTTGTTCAAAGTATCAGAAGTAGATTGATGTTTTTATAATTCTGTCTCCCATTTTCCACTCTTAAAATAGAGGAGTTTTTTTTACCTAGAATCTCATCATCAACAAGGTAGTTCACATTTTGCTTCAACTAGTCCCCTAAATTCTTTTGATCAATTTTCATGAGAATGTAGAGATATGAAAATTCTTTCTCTGCTACAGTAGCCTTTGTTTTATCACAGTACTCAAATTTATTAAAAAAAATAATAATTATCTCAGTGAATCTTTTCAGTAACTAGTGGAGTAAATGTGATTGTGAATACATCAGCCCTCCTCTATGTATCTCTTATTTACTTTCCTTCCCATTAAAGAAGAATAGTAGTATTTGAACATTTATTTTTACCACTTCTGACATAGATACAGACACTTGTATTGCTTTTTTTTTTTTTTGTCCTTTTCTGGTTACAATTGTTTTGGATGCTTTATAATGTTTGAATATAAAGCAAAGAAGAAAAAAATCTACCAAAGCTGTTAAAACAAAATACATTTAGCCAGACAATGCAGCTCAGAGGAGAAATGTAAAGCTTTAGGTTCTGTGGCAGGCAATCAAGTATCTTCTTGGACATACATATTCCCAAATAAAGCCCTAAATCTGAAATGAATGTTCAGCAACAGCAGCAATTTAGGCATCCTCTTAGAAAAACTCTCTTACAGATCTGTATCAGAAAAACACACTAGATTTTTAAAATTGGAAATGTAAGTCCTAACTGAATTTGAATTAAAGAAGTACTTTTAAAACACTTAAGTGAATCAATACACGACTAAAGCTCTTATTTATTGTTACATACAAAGCTTGATAGAAATTAAAAATTAAAAGTATTTATATTGTTCTTGCTTCTACAAAAAAATATTGCTGTGGGTGTTTGAAATGATGGGGTGGCCATTACTGCAGCATACCACCCTATCTCAATGTTGTGTCACTATTTTAGCATTCTGTGAGCACACATAAGCCTGTGAGCAGGCCTGACCACACAAAGTTGCTACAGTTTTTGGTCTTAAAATGTTCTCATACTAATTCATTCAACATTTATGACCTGAGCTGTAATAGGCAACATGAATCGACTCCAGATTGTATTTACTGTGGGACTTTTTGGTTTTTACTTTTGTTCTGCAAAACAGAGGATGCTTACTGTGGAAGATGTGAACTGCATCTGCGTAAACTGGAAGAGAGGTGCGAGATGTCAGTACACCCAGGCCTCAAACAACGTCCGCGTCGTGGGTGCAGAACTAGCTTATTTCATAAATGTTCTTATGGTAAGAGTCTTCTGGTCTGAAAGAAATGTGATTCAGGAACTTTTATGAATGTGAACAGCAAAAAAATGTTTTCTTTTACTCTGTCGTCATCTTAGAAGTTGTACTGAAAACAGAGTCTTTTTTGTAGTTTGAGAACTATGTTATAACAGCAGGGGTAACCAACACAGGGATATGAGGTTCTACAAGACATCCAAAGAGCTATTCTGTAGATGTTGACAGATGGAAAATGTGCAGTTCTACAGACACAGCAATAATGGACACAGCAGACTCCCTCTTCACAGAAACAAAACATCACACAGCTCTTAAAGCCCAAAACCCAGCTGGCAGCCAGCAGTGGCTGGAGGACAACTGCTTCTGGTAAGGAACACCACCCAGGGACAAATGGGAACCAGCATTATACACAGTGCCTAAATCTACTGAAGGTGCCACCTGCCCCCTTACTTAGCCAGCTTCACATGGGAAGCAATGCTTGGTTTGAAGCCTTTTAATTTAAGTGCTTTCAACACACATTTTGCATAAATGAACTATAAATGACTTAAATAGACAATATGCTGGGTCTAGGAGTGCTCAGATCCACAGCTCACTCTTTATAGCTTCATTGCAGTCATGGAATTGGTGTCTGAAAAGGCTGAAGGCACCTTTTCTCATGTCCTCCTCCAGATGCACATGGTGACCTGCCAGGTGTAACTCAGAGTTCCTGCCCGGCTGAATCTTGCAAGTCAGATAAACATCTTGTGAATCTTATCAGGTTTAGGATGTAAAATGGATACAGAGTCTCTCAGGACTCTGTTGACAGAGCTGTCTAGAGCTTTAACAGCCTTCAAATGAGAGCAGCACCTGAATAAGGAGATTTGAAAAAATATGTACCAGATATAAGTTCCTAAACTGACAAACAGATGTTGAAATCCTATAGGAGTTCCTGAGTCTGTAGTCAAATTAAAAGGAGTTTCTTCAGTTCATTTTTGCTCTTCCCCTCTTGCTGATGAAAACAGCTATGGTAATTTTTTGTGTTGCTGTTTTCTCAGGACAAATACAGTTACTCCCCAGCCAATGTTCACATAATTGGCCACAGCCTGGGAGCACACGCGGCAGGTGAGGCTGGCAGAAGGCGGCCAGGGATTGGAAGAATAACTGGTAAGTCAGTGACTTAAAGTCACACCTCATACTAAAGACACCACTGCTCAACAAAACGTTGCTGCTCACTTTCTCTTTCCATTGTGTCTGAGTGGGGGCAGTACTTTAGTCAAGGGCAGTTTGGACATTACAGAACTTAGCCTCTTCTTACAAAACAGCAGGGAGTGGTGCCCTGGTGAGTGTGGGGAAACAGTCAGTGTGATGATAATTTTGTTTGCATATGTTCCCAGAGCGAAGGAAACACTCCATGCAGCTGATAGAGCCAGAAGGGCCCCTGCAATGCATCAGTGGCTGGCTGATACACCCCCATAGTTGTGGCAATCTCTAAAGCTTGCTTTCTGGTGCTCCAACCTAGCAGTGTCACTTTGGAGCAGGACACAAGGGATGCTGTAACGTGACAATAGTCCAATGTCACTGCTAAAAACCATACAGTCAGAACCAGTTTTAGCTGCCACAACTGTTTTTCATAATGATTTGTCCAATACTAATGTAATAAAACAGACCAGGAGAGTAATTCTACATTCCTTCCCCAAGCAGATTTTCTCCTGTTATTTTCTTGTTTATTTCATCTGACATGCTATATAGCAGCACGTTTGATGCACATTACCCACTGCTTGCAGGTCCCTCCAAAGCATGCCAGAAGCAGCAAAACAGTGAGAAATTAGCTCTTTTGTACCTATTTTGTTAACAAATATCATTTTCCAGAAAAGGGTGGATTAAAACTGATGTTTCAGACCCATTATCACCTTGCTTTGCTATGTCTGCATAAACATTTCACCTAGTAGAGTACATCAAAAAGAAAAAGATAATCTAACTACTGTTATTTCCAGCAGACTTTCTAAACTTTCTTTTATTCATTTAACTGTTGAAACACTAAACCTCTGCATTTCCTTGTCAGCCGTCATCTTTCTTAAACTGCTTAACTAAGTCTTTAAAAAAGCAAATGGCAATCAAATAGGCACATTTATTGCAATATTAATTCACTTCTAAAAACAAGATGTTCCAGAGACCTCACAAAGCAGAGATGCCATCTCAAGTATTCAAAAGCCTCCAATACTCTCCCCAGAGAAGAAAACTTAAGAGAGGTATTGTCAGGTAAACTTATGACCAAACCAAGGTAACTCACCTTGCAGCCTGTATTCTTTAGCAGTTTTTTGGCATATTCATCACTTCCAGAGTTTAAACCTACGGGCTTGATCTCTTTATTCCTCATGCAGGCAGTGCCAAGGGCAGCGTGCATTAAGCAGAGTGACCTTCCATACGCAAAAGAGAATTTTGGATATTATTAACACAGCCCTTTCTGATTGTTACTTTTCCTCAGGGATTTCAGGCTTAGTGAACCTTGAACTGTCTAAAAAGTTTGATCTAAAAGCAAAACTAAATCTACTGCCCAGGGACTACAAGAGATGCGAGTATAAGGTAGTAAAAAATGTGCAATTTGCAAGACTTTAAAAGCTCCTGAAAATGCTACAGCAATTTGGGAAGCAAATAATTGTGTTTTCTGCTGGGATCAAAACCAAAGCTCATCACTTCAAAACTAGATATTTTTCCACAATCTGACTAGAGCCAGACACAGGCAGGCTGGCTTCAACACCTGCAAGCACATGGAGTCCTTATCAGCATCAATTCCTGTCCGAGTACTCTCAAACAAGGTACTCTAGAAACCATGCAGCTAAGTCACTTATATAGGATGCAGACACAGCAACCTCAATTTGAGCAACACTGTTAAGGGAAAATTCAGTAAAAAAAGGGGGAAAAAAAAAAAAAGACATATTCAAGTGTTTGAATTCAATATTGATGTAAACCAGTAACATTTAACAGGCTTCACACAAGTAACCCTTTCTTCTTCCTGGGAGAAAAGCCACTTGGTAAGAGAGATCATATACCATCATTTTAACAATGCCTATACTACTTAGATGTAAGGAACCTTAGGCAACTATATATGTGATATTTACTATATACAATCACAGTGTTATGTAAAGTTATACCTCTCTTTACCGATACATACCACTAGTCTTTTTCTTTCAGGCCTGGACCCTGCTCAACCTTATTTTCAAGGCACTTCAATTGAAGTCAGACTGGATAAATCTGATGCTGAGTTTGTAGACATTATCCACACAGATTCAGCTCCCACAATCCCCTACTTAGGTGAGTATTCAACTCTAGGTATTAATACTAAAATATTTATGCCCTGTGGCACTTAAATATCCTGATCATTCATCAGGACTCAGTTATACTGGTGGTGCATAGACACAGAACAAATACACCATACTGGCTACTGACAGCTCATACTCTAAAATACCAAACACAGACAAACTGCAATCCAGAAGCTATAGATCTGAGATGGTATTAAATTAAAATGTACTTACTTCTGCTTTAAATGCTTTAGGTTTTGGCATAAGCCCAGCTATTGGCCATCTTGACTTCTATCCAAACGGAGGAAAGCAAATGCCTGGGTGTGGGAAGAACCCTGTTTCACAGATTGTAGATCTGGATGGCATCTGGGAAGGTATGCTGACTACACTACAACTCAGGGGAATATCACCCTCACAGTGTAATGACTTAACTTTTCTTTATTCAGGTGTTTTGCATTAGCTTTTGGGGTGTCCACCAGCAATGGCAGCTGCAGAATGCAGAAAAACTGTTCATGTGCTCAAAACACCATTTCCTAGAGCTTAATCAAAAATAAACATGACAAAGAGTTTGCCTCTGGAAAATAAGCCTCCTTTAAAGTATCTAATAACAGAAACAAAAGTTACTGAAACTGTGCCAAAAATTTTGAAGTGTCTGTAACAACACATTTCACTTTTTGTTTCTATTTTGTTGCCTGATAGCAGTACTGGGAGAAGTGGGACAACAATGTTCACAACTAACTCTATTAGGGTACCTTCAGCTGCAATTCTTCTGAGCTAAAGCACTTCATTTAATTTGTTTTAAATTATCTATTACAATGTAGGTTTCGTTAGAGCACTGTCATTGTGTCTATTTTTAGTCAGCTAAAAAAAGACCAGCACATAGCTACTCAAATACACTGTTCTTTGCTGCTTATGTGGTTCTAGTAAAAGCTCTAAGTATCAGTACATTTGTGTCCTTCTGAAATTAAATGGCACATATCATTAAAAGAAAAAAAAAAAGACAAAAACCACACAAACAAACCAAGATTTCTGCTGTAGAGGTTTTTCAGTATTTTATCCAAGTTCTTTCTTACATTACTGCAAACACCTTAAACTCTGAGAATCCATTAACTTATTTGTGATAACTAGCCTTTTTCTCCAGGTTTTATTCAAAGCAGCTGGAGATATTACTTATTCTTTCCTTTTTTTTTTTTTTTTATAGAATAAACTTGTTATCAATAATGGGGAATTAAAGCACAAAGAAATAACTGTGTTGTATATTATCTTTTTAACCTAAAGTCAAGAAAATTAAGGCAACATAAAGGAAAATAATATATTCATTATTTTAATTTTAAGAGTTTCCCTTCCTTAAGCACCCCCAAATAATAACTTTGTTTTGAAGTCCTCAGCTGGAGGAAATCAGCATTGCCCTGGGAAGTTCACTGTTAAATACTTTTCATTTGGTTCTCTTTTGTTATGGTAATGCAACTGTTGCCTACAAAAGATTTGCTTCATACAGTTCTTATTTCTATTGTGAAACTCAGTCAGATTGCTTGAATAAGTATTTGGGAGGGGAGGGCAGGAGCTGAGCTGCACAGTCTCTCTCCACAAAGCATTTCAAGTTTGCATTTCATACCTGTTGAGTCACTGACGTTTCTTAGAGCATCAATTCCTTGCAAAAGCAAACTTCAGACCTTACATTTGATACTCCAAGAATGGTGACAAGCCTTTAGATGAGGAATGATGCATCCCAATGACATAGCAAGGGCTGTACCACTGTCTTTCCTTGAATGGTAAGAGAAAGGAAGAACTAACCTGGGAGCATCTTCTCACAGGAACTCGGGACTTTGTGGCTTGCAACCATCTGCGGAGTTACAAGTATTACTCTGACAGTATTATCTACCCTGATGGATTTGTAGGCTACCCTTGTGCTTCGTATGATCTTTTTGGAACAGTAAGTATTTCTCAGAGCCACAGGATGGACCATATCAAAAACAGTGGCTCTTTTCTGTACATTTGAAATTCAATTTATTTACGCTAGCTTGCACTCAGTGAGTGTATCTGTAAGAGAAGAAAGTGTCAGACACCCTATAGTGCTACAGCTCATGCAGCAAAGTAGGAGAAGGTAACAACAGAACAGGGACATCCTTGGTTCTGTGTGGATGTGACAGCCTTGAAGCACTACTGGAGATAGTGTGGCTTTCCCCAGCCTGCTCTACTGCATCTAACTAGGGAAGTAATAAAGAGGAGAGCCTGTCCCTGTAATCACCAAATATAATTATCCAACAGCAGTGAGTGGAAACCCATACTATAGCAGGTGAGCTTTCAAACACAGCTGAAATTTCCTTTCAGAACAAGTCAAATAGTAGGTGATGACCTGCTGGGGTCAGTCCATGATCACAGTACTTCAGTGATTTAAGATGGCCTAAGGGACATCACAGTGGTTTATGGACCAAGGTCAGGAAGCTCTTCTCTGTCCCAGAACGGGAGGTAGGGAACTACAGCTTAAGAGTAGCAGGGAGATAGCCAGCTCATCATATCCTTCAGACAGAGGAATAAGCTTACATAGTAACTAGATTGATCTTTACATGTTCCAAGCAGATGCTAGAGATCACACTCCTCAGGTCACTTTCTCCTAAAGTGACTCCCTGCCTCTCGCCACAGTAGAAAGCTCCTTTCATGACAAAAATGAGCTTTGTTTTCAAGACAAAGCCTTTCTTGACTCAACATGAAGGTATAAGAGGACATCATTACTTCTCTTAGTTGCTGGGAAAGACACCTGTTCCTCTCTGCTCTCATTTGAGACTACTTAAGGATGTCACTGATGTGCCTGGTTTGAGCTAAATGGCATGAAGAGAAAACATAGACTCCTGAAAAAAAACAGAGCCTTGAGAAATTTGGCTAGTTTATATGACCTTTTTCAAGTCACAGAAAGGGTTACTTGAGATATGTTGTTCCTGTGATATAGGGCCAGTATGTTAAAAATAAGTCCTAATTTTTTATTTTTTATTTTTTTTTTTCTGGGCCAGCTGGCTACTTTCATTAATATATATATTTGTTTTCACTAGGATAGATGTTTTCCATGCCCACGAGAGGGATGCCCAACGATGGGTCACTTCGCAGATAGATTCAAAGATAAATTTAAAAATGGTTTCCAGAAGTTTTACCTGAACACTGCAGAGGCCAAGGATTTTCCTCGTGAGTTTCTATTGCTTCCATTGCTACATACTCCTTGTAAACAAGCTTTTTTAGTTTCCTCATTTATAATTAATTTTAAGATCCCACAAGGAAGCTTTGAGCTGAAAGTGACGGGAAATGATAATTTTCTTTTGCGCTCAACTACAGTGTACAGACAAAAAATTAAAAAGCAAAACCCTTGATATTTTGGAGAGTATTTATCCATGAGTACAAACTAACTTGCTGTATTTCTTCTGTGTAGTTTGGAGATATAAAGTAACCATGACCCTCTCTGGAAGGAGTAAAGTAAAAGGATATGTAAACGTTGCCCTGTATGGAAGTGGTGGGAATACAAGGCAGCATCAGATTGTCAAGTAAGTTAAAAATTTCATAAACTTCTATTCTAGAATGTTTAATTAATATTTTTGGTTAATATTTCTGTGTAAATTGGTCCTATTTTAGAGAACAAATTCTACTCCCAGTGTAAATGCAGCAACAGTTCATTCCCTCTGGGTTTACATTTGAAGGGAGAAGGTCAGAATGCAGGATTTTAATGTTAGAATTTGGTGTCACTTGTTTTCTCTCTCACTAAGGTCTTGCTGGACCTACACTAGCAGAGTTCTGATCTTTTTGTCTTTCACAGGCTTGTAAAAAACTGCTGTTACAGCTGCTTATGACTATAGTTACCTCAGGATTTACTATAGAAAAATCTATTTTTTGTTGCTCATAACTTTGCCTGCTTACACTAAGTCTGCTTGCTTGCCTCCTGTGCTTTGATTTGCGTTCTTCTTCTTTGTTTCAGCTAAATACCTGAAATTATGCAAAAAGACAGAAGGCAATTTGATGTCAGTTGGGGCTTTTATGTTTTGTTTATTGACAAGTGTCTCGCTTCCACTTTCCAGAAAGGACTTCACATCTTCAGTAAGTCCTAATTTTTTATTTTTTAGCTGATCCCATTGCAGGCACTCATGCATTCACCTCAGATGAGTCTGCCCACACCAAGTGCATTCCAGCAGTCTCCAGATGCCTTTGTACGGCCCTGTGTCAATTCATTTGCTGGAATTGAACAGTTTTTCCCCAGCAAATCTCGCTCTAAACAACCAGACACGACTGTGAACCCAGCAAAGAAACAAAAAGCCAAAGGGGTTTTGTCTTGTCTCTCATTACTTCCACTACTATAAGCCATTAATATGGAAGATAGTAAACATCCTCCTCTGGAGGCAGATGTATGAACAAGTGCAAAGCTAGGGGAAGGAATAAAAATCCTGCCTTTCTCATGTGGCTTGGTAAAACTGTAGAGGTTGCTTCTGGGTGGTTCTCCTGGGTCCTCTGTTTTTTTTCCTCCCATATCTCTCAGGTCACATCTACAATAACAGTTCTGCAGTGACAAAGGCATCACACATTCAAGTGTCTCTTGACTTCATACAGCAGGAGTAAATTTAAGAAATTCTTCACCTTCAGAATTTCTTCACCTTCAGAGCATGGGGGCAAAGGAGAGGATTAGACAAGCATTGGCTCATATTCAGTTAGATGTAGTAACTGAAGCTATTACCAGTCTCAAACTGCTGCCATTTAGAGCTTGATATCTTGAAATAAGTAGACATGACATAAGACAACATGAAATAAGTAGCCAGATTATAAACCACAGTAGCTCAAGAGCAGATGCTGCAAGTGTGGGAATCTCTGCTAGAGAGCTTGGCTGAGCAGCTGGAGGATAATCCTTTTGACCATCCTGAACAAATCCAACATCTGTAACACACAAATTAATTAACATCAAATGGAAATCTCATTTATATCCAAAAACCCTGCCCACATGAGCACCAGGAAGCAAGCCCAGCCTTCTCCACAGGGACTGTCCTCAAACTGGATCTTCATTGTGGGGTGTGACTGCAGCACACTGGGCTTATCTGCCTTCCCTGATTCTGACAAACACTGATTTGGGATGAATTACACTGGAAAATGAGCAATAATGTTGTTACCATATTATATGCTAAATACTGTCTCTCTGCTAACTTTCTACTCACTTGCTACTACAGCCAATCTTGACAGGACTGGCAATTAACACTAAATGCTTGCATGCCTCACATCCATAAAATGTTATTTTTCACAGGGGAAGCCTGAAACCAGGTAGCACTTACTCCAGCTTCATTGATGTAGAAGCTAACATTGGAACAGTTACAAAGGTTAAATTTCTTTGGAACAACAACTGGATAAATCCAACTTTTCCTAAACTAGGAGCTGCAACTATCACAGTCCAATCTGGAATAAATGGGACAGTGTAAGTATATCCATTGTGAAAATCTTGAAATTACTTGGGAAGACAGGTGACAAAATTATATCTGGAGTGAAAGGGTTTTCACGGGAAAAGCTACTGGAAGCATTAAAAGACTTTCAAGAAAACCTTTTATTTCCTTCCCTTCAAGACACTGTTCAACCATAGTCCAAATCACTTCTACTTCAATCTTTTGCCTTAAATAACTTCAAAAGAAAAAAAAATTTCCAGGCTTCAGAAGAGCAAACTTTCTGTATAACCCTTTGGGTGAGAAAAATCAGTGCAGGCTTGGATTATCAGCTTCATTCATGCCAAGCTCCTCGTGTCCACTAGCACTGGTTATCTGTGCCTGAGCTTGAGGTAGGATGTCTGATTTGCTGTCAGCAGAACCACCAAAAGTTTTCCATTGATACTAATGGTCCCTGAGATCATGACTGGCAAAAGAGGATGGTGATAATAAACCAGCCCTTCCAATGAGCAAGACTGACACCTGGAAGCTGTGTTTAAGAAGCTATGTATGAAGTTTATGGAAAGAGGCTAAAACTGATTTCACTAGACTTTGTGGAATAGGGCTTGGATGTTCAGATCACAGGATTATGATTTACTGATCCAGTTTAACTCATTTTCCTGGACTTCTTAAAACAAACTCCCTCATTTGCTTCATCAATTATTTTAACCACTCCACAATTTGGTATCTAGAAAAGGAGATACAGTGTATGTATGTGTTAGACCCGTATACAAAATCACAGTTAAATTGTCATCACTTAAAAGGTTACATGGGAGATGGAAATATTTTCAAGCAAAGTAAAATGATTACAGCCCAGCAGATTTACCTTTAAACAGAGGTCCTAAGTCCAGTTGTAGTTCGTATTCACCAAAGCACGCTGCTGACAAAAGTGCCTTCCTGTAGATAGACACTCTTCTCTTGACCCACGGCCTTTGTACAAGTAGTTGTGACCATCTATGCAGTGATGGTAGTACAAAATCTGGATTAAAAAAAAAAAAAACACGAACCTGTAAAACTAAAGGCAGGCAGTGAACCAGACTGAACACATTCAATCAATGCTTTCCCCAGCGGTAATATTTCAAACTTAGAGCTCAAAGTATCTTGTGTTTGGTTGTGTCAAATAGTAAATCGGGTTGACTCACAACACAAATAAGACAAATCTACTTGTATAATCTTGACAAATGTTGACAACTCAAGGTGCTCTTATTTTATTTTTCCTTCAGATTCCGTTTCTGTGGTTCTGAGACGGTGAGGGAGGATGTTCTGCTGACCCTTACTCCTTGCTAACGGCACTATGGATGACAAAAACCTTGCTACCAATAAAAGCTAGTCATGCATAAAACACTGGAGTCTGCAGTCACTGCAGTTCTAACACTGGTGATGTGTGTTTGGTTTTGTTTTGTTTTTTTTTTTTCTGGTATGGGAGGTGGGGATTAAGTCTGTGGATACCTTTCTATAGAATGTTTAGAGTAGCTTTAGGAGTGAACGAGCCAAAACCTGTTGAGAAATTCCCCTGATTTTAACCTAATTCAGACTAAATTCAGACAAGAAAAGGGTCAGGTAACAGAACCTGGAGGGGCTCCTGGGAAGTATCAAGAGAAAGCAGACCTGCCTGTGAGTAGGAAGAGAGCATTAAAAAGAAAGATGATGTTCTTAATCAAACTGAAGGCTAAGCCCAGAATTAGAATAAGATAAAGGTGAAACAGATAGGATGGTGAGTTGTTACAAAACGAGGACAGAAGTTTAATATCTGTGAGAGATGGAACAGTGAACATGATGGAGAACTGGTAATGTGTTTGGGTATGTTGATACTGAACTAAGCTTGTATCGAAGGACCTAGACAGAATTAATTTGAGAAAGCTGCACAACAAACTTCATCTGTTAGAGAAGTTTCACTAAAATGCTTATAATCAGAACAATCAGCAAAGTGTCCTGAAATCCCGTATGCTGGCCCTTCAGCCTTGAACAAAACTGCCCCATGACGTGGTCAGTAATTGCAGGTAATGCAGTGAGGGAGTCACATTTTTCCCTGCTTTTTGATAAATGTATTCAGCTGAAGTGTGAGTAGTTCACATTATTTCTGTCCCTGTGTAATCCTCTCTCAGCTCGCTCAGCCTGCTGCTGGAGAAGCAAGCTGCTTTCTCCTCTGCTGCCAGAGAAACCACATCCTCACTGAAACAAAAAAACAAACAAACAAACAAACCCATAGAACTGCCAGGGCTGGGAGATCTACCACTCCATGGGACTTTTATCTTCAGCAGTTTCTCTTGAGGTTTCCCAGACTGGGGCACTCTGCTCTTCCTGCCTCTCTGTGTGACTTTTCCTCCCCCAGAATATCTTGTCCTGAAGGACTTCAGCCACCTAGCAAGGCTTTGGATTCTCCTTGCAGTGGTGAAGGTTGAAACCAATGTATTCTGTGTTGGAGCACTACTCTAACACAGAAGAAAACGCAGCTCAACTAAGTCAGTGAATTCTGCCAGCTCTCGCAGCGATGGGAGGGAGCAGGGCTGTAAAGACTAAAAAAAGTACCATCAGCATTGAAGATTGGCAACCTGTGGGCATGCTCAGAGCAGGAATAAGTTCCTTATGTGAAAAACAAACTGTTCCTTGGTTTAAGCCAACTGAAAAGAATATCTCCCAGCAATTTCAGGTTTAGTCAGAGATGTGCAGGCTTGCTTTTAAGTCTAAAAACCTTCTAAATTGCACTTGTGCTTCTTGCCCACATTAAAAGGCACTACCCAATTGTGCTGCTCCTGGAGCACAATATGAACCAAATTTTCATGTGGAGAATCACTGGTTTTTGAGTCCCTGAAACCTTGACCTAGGGAGGATAATAAGGGATAAATACGTGACTCAGTAAAGGGGACACACCTTGCCATGCTGTCATAGGTGTGTGGGGCTTTAACATGCCAAGCCAATTTCTTGTCCCACTTAACTCAAGAGGGAAATGACATTTTTCACCCTGATGATATTCCTTGTGTCTTCCCTTATTACATTGCTTCTTTTTCTGTGTAGCTCCTCTTGGCAGCAGCAAGTGCAGCAAGCACACAGTGAAGTTTACTTTGTGTGTTTGCTTCCCAGCACACGCTCTCCATGAGGGGCATAAGATAATGTTTAGTTTGGTTTCATTTATTTCCCATCTGTAGTCAGCCTTATAGTGGTAGAATAAGAGAGTAAAGCTTAGTAAGTTCAAGGCTGTGGGTTGTTTGCCCTGCATCAGGCTGTGCTAAGTCCAGTTTTGGGTTGCTCTTGCAAAGCCTGTCGTGGCTCTCTGCAGCTGCATGGCCACAGCTGGGCTGGAGGCAGGGCATCCAGCCACAGGACTCTCCATGCTCTCACACTTCATTTGTCTCATCCAGCCCAAGGAGGAACACACATCCCCTCTTCAGGGAGATAAACAGTTAGGGTTTACTCAGGGGACACATAGCCAGAGACAAAGGAGCTGGCATCTGATGTCGGGTTTCCATGTACCCAGTGTCCCTTTGACATCACCTGCTTCCTTCTGCCTTCACTGCTTGTCTCTTCTAGAATTTAGCTTCCTGATCTCAGTACCTCCTGCTGAGGAAACCTCAACAGGGTTATTAACTTCCTAACACTGCAGAAGAGTTTCTCCTTTGTCTTTTGTTCCTTTACCTTGGTATAAGCAGATTCTTGCCTACACAATTGTTTTGACAGTCATGATATTCCCTGCATTATCCTCTGCCATAGCCACTTCAGCAGCCCATGTAATTTTAACAAACACCTAACAGAATCAAGACATTAAAGTTGACACTAGAATAATGAAAAATCTCCTTTTAATAATGAACTGGAGCTGCCGTCATCTTGTTTTAGCAGAGTAAAACCTCTCCCCCCCTCCCGAACACTTTACAAAGCTATTACATAAAATGCAATGTTAAATGAACAACAAATTACTTTCCCTTTAGCTAGCTTTTAATGCTAATGGTGCTATTTATTCCTGACCTTTTGAAATATTAGATTTTTTAAATGACAACATAAAAAGAATTCTTGTTTGAAAACGCGAGCGACTTTAAACCACATGTTATTACTTGTAAGTATAGCATGCACATGCATCATTCATTTCAGTGTCCCATTTATGGCTAATTGGTATATATTTCAGTTGACATATATTGTTCTCCTGCAAACGTGTCAAATTCCTTAACGATGTCGGTGACAAAAGCCTAGTGCTTGAGATATATAAATTACGCTCTTTACCATATAATCATTCTTATCTATTGGGAATGCTATTTGTGACAAATCATGTTCAAAAATACACACTAAATTGATTATTTTTTTTTAAATTTTAATATCACACCATTCATGGCAAGTCTTTGATTGAACCTTTGTATGTGGAAATGTTTTGATTTTTATCTGCGTCGTTTTGTAGCTTCTGAAAAGCTCACTTTATTTATTAAAGGAAGAGTAGCACTGTGCAGATCTTAAAATGTATCTTTTGTTATCAGCATAAGAAAACAAATGGGCTATAATTGTGGATATGGAATGAGTAATTTGGTGAACAACACTTTGTGCTGTAGTTTAGGTTTTATAATTCCTGCCAGAAATTGCTGTTATTTTGTTGGTGGGCAGCATTGCGATCAGAATTTTAAATATGGGAGCTACAAGGGCCACGTATTTTCATTACATTTTAGATTGCCATGTGCAATGTAGTTCTCTCCTACATTAAAAATCATCTGAGAACAGTGAAAAAAAAATTGAAGATTTCATGTGACTCTAATTATTCCTGAGATATAGCAGTGCTCATTGTTGTCTTTAGACAATACTGTCCATAGTCATTACTTTGCTCTGTAAATCAGCAGGATAATGAGGTTCTATCTTTCAAGAAATACTTGAGCATATCTTAATTTGGCATTGATGAATTCTCCTTTCTGAACCTCTTGTGTTTTTGTTTTTTTTTTAATCTAGTGTGTCATATTAGAGCTTTCATCACCTAGCCGCAGCTGACAGTGTTATGTACACCTATTTATTTCCATACCTTTCTGGGATGGGTCCTCAGAGGCTGCAAATAGGAATTTTATGATGTTGTGCCTGAAGGCTACTTTGTTCTTCATTTGAGTGTAAATCACAAGCTACTTTGCCACACCCCCATACTTCAGAAATATATACTGTGTGTGTTTGTATTTAATTGTGGAAAAACTAAAAAAAAAAAGAGGCTGAAGTTGTTAACAACTTGTTACTTATAAAACTGGAAACAGTTTCTTCGACAAGAGATATATACTTGAAGAAAATACCATCTTTTGCCAAAGAAATGATATAACAAGTTCAGATGCCCGTTATCTTCCTCTGCAGACCTCAAATGTGAAGACAATGAAAGGGTAAAATGTATGAGCATTCTTAATCGGTTGAAACAGAAGGATTCAGTAGGGGGCAGAGGAACAAAGGAAAAGGTCGATGTGATGCTCCCACAGCCCTAAATGCAAAAATACTAATAATGGCCTACATGTCACTTGCTTCTAAATTATGCCTGTATACAAACAGAAACAAGTAGCAAAGTACTCCTTAAATTTGTCTAAATGCTGTATTTAGTTACACAATAACAACTGAGTGGCTACTACACTTGCTAGCATATAGAAGACACATATTATGTGAGACCCAAAGACAAAAGTTGCATTCAAGTCCCTCTTTGTTCTAAAGCCCATGTAATTATTGTTGCAGTACATGTTCTATGAAAAATCTTACCTTTAATTGCATAAAGTGGATAATTGCTTCACATCAAACCAATTAAGGAAGTGAAGGGAGAAAAAGGGGGATCTAAACCTCCAAAGCAATGCACTCTTTCACATAATAATTCACATTATTATAATTTTGCATATCATTTTAGATAAACATGAGTCTCACTTACTCTCATTAAAAATAACAGCAGAGAACAATACTTGGCTTGGGTGCTGCAGTTTGAGGTGTGCAGTTCAGGTTGGATTCCCACAGGAGTGAGGGTTATCCTCTGGAATGTGAGGTCTCCCCTGAAAGTGGTACCATTTCTCACTCAGAAGAGGTTCTTCATGGAGGAGGAGTAGAGTCATCACCTTAATTACATGGGATGAAAACCACACAATGAGCATCTCCACGTCTTGCCTGAGATGACAGAAAAGCAAAAGCCATCCCCCCCTTCTCTGAACATGGAGCACCGTGTTTGCAGACCGGGCTACTGAAACTTCCAAAGGAATGCTTAAAAATAAATCCAAACTCCTGTTTTAGGAGACAACCTTCTCCTTGCTGTCCCTAATTCCTTACTCAAACACCAGCCGTCTCTCTTTTGATGAGGGAATAAAAAT